CCTGACCCTTGCTCCCTGTTGTCACAGGCCCCATCGAGACCCCTTCTCTCCCCTTTGCCCTGGTGATAGGCATGGCAACCGGCCGGCCATAGCGATAGAAACCCATCTGTCACGTCTGCTGTGGCTCTTTGCTCTTAAGCGGGGTCCGTGTGGAAGCATGAGACGAGCACATGCCACCCTTGGCATCTCAGGCTGGACCAAGGCTGTGGTCATCTTCACCTTGAGCTGGAGTGGCCAGGGAGCAGGCAGCAGGCAGTTCAGCCAGGGCTTCTCACCCACCTCAGGCCAAACACAAAGAATTTCTCAGCCGGGAAGCTGCAGTCCTTTAGGATTTCTGTCTGGAAGTCAGGCTCAAGGTCTAGGGAGCAGCCTCTGGGGAAAGGGGTTCCCTTCTCCATCCCATCATTTTGCACTAAACTCCACAAATCACAGCTCCGGTCCTGGGTCCTGCACAGAACCTTTTTCATTAACGTGGGTTTTATCTGTTTGCTTGCTTTGTTTTGTTTTGAGAAAGGGTCTCCCTTTGTATGTAGCTCAAGCCAGCCTCAAAGACACTGTAGATGCAAACTCAGATCGATTGCAGGCGTGGGCCACGCCACACCTGGGTGGCTCCTGGGTTCTGATAGAGCTGTTACTCCCCACACGCCTCTCACGCTTACAACCTCCAAATCACCATTGATCTAACCCCCACCGACCCATAGGACACCTCTTGTCTGTTCCCTGTTGCCAGTTTCCCCATCTCCGCTTAGTTCTGTGCTTCCTCATGACTCCCCCAGACCATTCAAGCCTTCCTCTATCCCGTCTTTCAGTCACCCAGTCACTCAATGTGCCATTTTGATCGTGCCAAGAGGCTTCACGTGGTCTATTTTCAGCAAACTCTTTATCAGGTGTTCAAAGTCTTTCATGTGTTCTCAACTCACTTTTGCACACTGAAATATATATATATATATATATGTATATTCACATGCAACTTTTTAGCTAAGTTAAAACACTCCTTGTCACCTATACACATCTGTGCTTGCATTTCACTCTTTCTGAAGCCATTCTGCAATACCTAAAACACCTGCACTAGCCTCAAAATCATCTCCAGCCAGAGAGTCTGACCAACAGCTGGCACGGCACACCCTCAGTCTTCCCCCAAAAGCCCCCATTGTGACTCATAGGCCTCTAAAGCGGTACCATCCAGCTCTGCCATTTGAGTGCAGCATGGTAAAGAGTACCTGCTTTCAGCGGGGCCACAGGAAGCCTGCCCTCTCACCTTTGTGTACTTGCCTGCTGGGTCTGAGGAACGGACTCTGTTGTGTCAACAGATCAGGTCTTCTGAAAGCCTTGCACACCTGGAGCTCTCCTGCGTCATCTCTCTGCTCCTCTCAGCTCTCCTAACAAAACAGCCTGCTGACTTTCAGACCCAAGCCCATCAAACACCTGTGTCGTCATTATCAACACTAACACAAACTCATCTCACACTTTTTATTAATGTCTAAAGTGCTATGTTCTGGGTGTTCAGAATAATCCAAAGAGAACACCTGTTACTTACATGCTCTTATTTGCAACCTCTAGAGGGTAATTTATTCATTACTGTATTAAAGTGGGCTGTTTAATAAGTTATAACTGTCAGAGAAGAAAGGTAAATTGCTGTCACTATGATCAAACTGGATACCTAAAAGGAATGTATTTTTCCATTTGCAAATTCTTTATTTATTTTTTTTCCCAGTTTCTACCCTGTTTTTCTAGGATCAATTTAAAAATACAATGCAAAATAGTAAAAGCAAAAGAGATTTATTTTTGCTGCCAAACTCCTATTCAACTTTAGTATCTCATTAAATATTCTACCCTTGACTTCAGGATGCAATGTTCATTATCATAATTGCATAAGTGTCTTTAATGCCTTTTTCTTGCTCAAAGAAACCCCCAAATGATTAAGGCCATTAACCTAATTACCCAATAATTAAAATTTGAAGCTCTGTGTGATTTCACTCTCCTGAAAGGAAAAAAAAAAAAGTACTAACTGAATCTGAGCAAGACACGCCTTTATCTATATGATTTATAAAGAATCAAGAAATATTGTAATATTTATACATAGAGACTTCAAGATGTTTCCATACATAAGAATTAATGCAGCATAATTCAAAGACAAATGTGTGGCTGGAGAGCTTTGGGTTTGGAAAAATGACTCCGCAGTTAAGAACACTGCCTTCCCGAGGATCAGAGTTCAATTCCTAGCATCCACGTGGCGGATCACAACCCTCTCTACGTCCAGATCTACGGCATCTGGCGCCGCCCTCTTCTGGCGTCTGTGGGTACTGCATGCAAGTGATGCACAGGCACATAAAGTAATTTTTAAAAGGTTCAGTTTTCATTATGAGAAATCTGTAAGAGCAGAGAAGAGGAAAGATGAGGAAATGCTAGAATAGGAAAAGGAGGCAGCAGCAATCCAGCTCTGGAAACGTTACCCAGAGGAACAAAGTATGGAGCTTTTGCTAGGCTAGGGTACGATAAGGTGTCATCAAAATGACACTTAAGGGACTCTTCAGAATAGAAGAATGGCTGTTTATATATTCCTTGGATGTAATGTTGGTTCCTAGACAGCTGCTCTGGTGAGGGAGCTTAGCACAGGGAATGATTAGACAGGTCAAAGGTGCTGAGCTCACACCTCAACAACGATTGAACCACCACCACCACCACCATCACAGACTGTTGCTATTTCTTAAGTAATTGCCACATACGGAGTACTGTCTGCCTTAGGAGCTTCAGTATAGCATCTCATTGCGTGCCCACATGCCACGTAGGTCTATTGTTCCCATTTTATGAATGAGAAATGGAGACTATGAGCTTAAGCAGTTCTCTTTAGGCACTAATGATGATGATAATGTATTAAAACAAAAGGGAAAAAAGCAATTTCATCAGTGAGTATTGTAAGCAAAATGAAAACACATATACACACACACTAAAAATACACAAATGCATAGCAGAAGCCAGTGGCAAATTAAGTGAGGATAATGATGATGATATTTTCTCACCCAAAACAACTGAAGGGACCCAAGATCTTAAGCTTCCTATAGCACCTCACCTGACATTCTCAAGCTACAACAAACGTCTTACTTATAGCCACTGTCACTGCCCTGAGGGAAATGGAGACAGAAAAAGCTTCCTTCTCCCACATCAGCTTCCAAATACAAAAAGGCAAGTGGCTTTACACTCTGCCCGTAGAATAAAGGCTGAGTGCCAGGAAGCAACAGCCACAAAAACAAAAACAAAACAAAACAAAACAAAGCAAAACTAATTTGCTATGCCTGTGAGAACATCCCTAGCCTTGATTCTGGGCACCAGGAAGACCACCTCGGTACGAGGACGCCAAGAATCACAGTCTTGAAGAAAGTGGCATTCGTGAACGCTGTCAAATGAAAGTCATGAGCTGAAAGACAACCGTTATAAAAAGAGCCATAGAGATGGGAGAAAATCAATTGTGGATGAATAAGAGATGCAAAGGCAACGAAAAGACTGCCACCCAAACTTCTGCAAGTATCCTGCAACTCAGGAGGTATTTCTGTAGCTCAGGCACACAGCAAAGTATGTGAAAAAGTAGGAAAGAATTTGTGATCTTTATAGATTTTTTTTTGGCTCTTCAACATATCAATAATTAAATATTTTCATTTCTTCCCATGGCTTTCTAGGAATACAGAGAAATGGACATTTGTTGAAAATCATAGTTGGGTTGCTCATTTTCAACTTTTTTAAAGATCAAAGTCTTTAAGAATGATATAATGAATAATGTAGTTAATCTCTAACAAAAGATTAACCAAACGAAACATTTTCCTAGGCACTCCTTAATATTAAAGGGTCGTGTTGACAGACATCTCACAAAAGTATGAGACTTGTATTGGGCTCAGTTCAGTCAGTCTATGTAGAACTGCAAACTTTCAGATGGAGCAGAGGGTAAATGTCCTTCCCACAGCTTTTGCTGCTGTGCTCAAAAGCACCCAAACTCTAGAGAAACACACATCTCTAAGAGACAGGATACAGTCGTGAAATGACCACAGAAACAAGCACAAGAGCTTTCCATTCTGAGGAAGTCTCACGGCAAGTGACGCCCAGCTCCACCACACTGGGGCTGAAGGAATGAGAACTGGCTGCCTTTATAGTGGATCTAAAATCCAATATCAAGCTCAAATCACTGTTCAGAAAGAAAGAGGGAAGGAAGGAAGGAAAGAAAGAGAGAGAGAGAGAGAGAAAAGACAGATTGGCAGCACATTGGGTTTGCATCTCCGCTCGAATCTAGCATGTCTGATGTGCCTATCGCTGTGGGGTTGCTGAAAATATGCCATCGGGGGCATTTCACGAAGTAAAACCCGACTTGCTCCCATATCAAAAGCTGCCTGCTGCACCCTCGCTTGAACATGACTCCCTTAATTTCCCAACCTCTCTAACTTCGCTGAAGCAGACAGACATGAAGAAGACCCGAATGGGTTAGAGGTCCAGCATTCCTGTCTTTCCTCCTCTTCCACATTTTCACTATCTTGGAACTCTTTAAGCTGGAGAAAAGGTAGGCATCAAGTATGCAATCAGGTACTCGGTTCACCTTCCAACCTTGAGCTAGAATATGAAAGATTGTCATGCCTGCCCACTCCCCGATCCATGCCTCAAACACCAGAGAAGCCAAATACCCGTTTTCTCCAGGACAACACCGAGATTCTGCAGGCTACACCTCTTTCTAGGAGTTCTAAAACCATATACACATGTTCTTAAGGCTACTATCTTGACGATATACACATGGTATTTGTTGAGTGATATATGAATTTCCCATAAGCCACTGTGCTAGGAAAAGACCGTTCCATCAAAGACGATATAACACTCTTAACTAAACTCAAGAAGGAGCGTAAATAGCAAGGTGATATTGCAAAGGGTCTAAATAAAAGTGGCCCTGGTTGTCAAAGGGTGAGGAAAGGCATGGCTGCTGGGCCAGGAGCAGGCTGGGAAGCAGAGGACACGCAAAGCCCTACCTGGTAGGCATCAGGAATATTGACTGTTTCTCCATGTTCCCCGACATAGCCAATGATGCCTTTGCCCCAGGGGACCTGCACCTCGTTTGAGTTCTCTGTGCTGCTGCAGGGGAGCAGTGGGGTTCCTGCATGCACATCAAAAAATTTGGAGACCAAGGTCTTCTTGCCAGGGGCCGCCCCCTCCACTAAGAAGAGAGAGCAGCGGTCAGCGTCCACCATGAGACAGACAAAGATGAGGATCTTGTAGCTTAGGCTGGTGAGGTCAAGGTCATTGGAGATGTCCTTAACCAGCTCCAGGAAAAACTGGCGCTCGTTATGCTTTTTGAGGTGGCATTTGTAGTCGATGGCCGTAGGGGGGTACTGAGGCAGGTTCACCCTGGATTCCAGGAGGGCACTGAGGATGTGGGCTGTGGTGGGAGGCAGGGAGCTGGCCTTCCTGAGCAGGGCTCTCCGCCGGACACTGCTCAGGGGCTCCTGGGCCCGCGAGGTCACCTGTTCATCGTAGGTCCTGTTCACGTGGATGGCTTTGGAGCGGGCAAAGCTCTTCCGCAGCTCTTTCTGCGAAGCTCTTCGCTGCAGGCTGCCATCACCCCGGCTGCCACTGGCCCAACTGGGACTCAGGGGAACCCCAGCACTTTCCCCACCACCGGGCGTGGGGCGGCTGTTGGCAGAGCCCTGTGGTCCAGCACCTCTACCCACGCCGGTGCTGCCTCTGCCAGCGCCGGGCAGGGCAGGCCTCAGGCCTGAAGCCCCCTGTCCCGAACTGTGCCTTTGTAGCCACTTGTCCACCAGCTCCTGCTTCCCTTTTCGCATCAAGTAATCTTCAAACAACTCGGGGTGCCTATCCAGGAAAGTTTCCACCTCCCCGAAGTCCAGGCGGGAGGCTGCCATGGTCCAGGGCGCCCCTTGCCTCTCCTTTCTACTCTTGGACCACAGGTTAGCCTGTCCCGAGGCCTCTAGCTGTGGCTGCACATGCTTGCCCACACTGGTGTCCCCGGAGCGGGGCTACCTTCCTGCCGGCCAGCCGGAGGCTGATGGGAACAGCAGGATCCCAGTGGGGAGGTGCCTGCTCGTCCGGTGGCTCAGAGCCGCGGCCACCCACCCTACCCCAGCTCCTCCTGCTCCTGCCGCACAGGTGCCGGCCGCGGCCACCGCTGCTTCCCGGGCGGCTCCGGCTCCCGCAGCCGCCGCTCCGCCGCCGCCGGAGCCGGCTGAGCGGACCACTGTGAGCCCGAGGTAGGCAGGACACGCCCCGGAGCCAGGCTGGGAGGAGCAGACGGGGCGCACCGCAGCTGAAGTCCACCGCCCAGGGTGCCAGGCGGTTCCGGGAACAGTCGCTGCGCAGCGCCGAGCCGGGAGCGCACCCAGGTGCACCCCCCGCCCCCGCCCTTTCAGCCTCACCTCCCCAGCCCGCCCCGCTCCGCCCCTATCCTTAAGCTTGCCAGAAGGCCCCTCGGGAGCCCAGTGGGAGTCCGAGTACTGAGAAATACTGATGATTTGTGAGGATCAGAGCCTAAAGTGCACGCGCTCCGAAGAAATGAGGGTCCCCAGAGTCCGCCCGGGTCTTGTTTTTCTGAGATGAGACTACTTTTAGTTTGCTCGGTTCCTCGGGCTGCCCAGCACTCTGTGGGCGTGCAGTAAATACTAATCAAACTAGTTTCCCTGAAGTTCCCGGTGTAAGAGATTCTTGAACAAAACTCGGGATGCTCCCCACCACAGCCCTTCTCTCCGTGACGAAGGGGGCTGCAGGCTGAAGAAAGGGTTAAAGCTCAGTTGCCCTGGTCCAGGGTGAACCGGTGGAGCAAGCTCGGGGCAAGTGGATCTGAGGGCGGCGGGGTCCTTTCCTGCGGCGCTCTCCATCCCTCGGCTCTCTTCCTTTTATGAAAGAGTCCTCGCAGAAGTCACGTCTTGAGGCTTGTGTACACAGACTTCTGCACTGCCTTGGCTCTGCCCTGGGGGTTCTGGATCTGACTAGGGGTTTCGCTAAGCAAAGCGGAGAAAAGTGGTGATGTTTTCTTGAAGGAGGGTGCATCTGCTCCTGCGAGTACCAAGCAGGTGCGGAGCCGGGACAACAGACAGACTCTTCCAGCATGCCAGAGATGAGCGTGATAGAAGAGAGCAGCGAGGAAGGCAGGGGAGGCTCCATGTGGCAGCGCTAGGTTGAAGGCCCACAGTAAGCGGACTTCAGAGCTAAGGCAACAGGTATACCAAAACTTAAATTAAGAGTAATTAAATTCTCTCACCTATGGCACGGGGTGTATTCTCCCACTTTAAAGACAGAGAATGCTGGAAAGCTGAGCAGCTCTTCAGGGCTCCCAGGGAACTGGCACGCAGGTTCATTACTCTGGCTGTAGAGGGAGGCCTCCTCTCAGCCCTCTCACTCACCGCACTGCCTCCCGTCTGTGTCAGAACTTAGACCGGAAACAAGAAAGTGGATGATGGTGGAGTGTCCTCTGCTACTCTGCTGACAATACTTGGAACTGAGAACCCTGTGCTCAAGAATTCCAAGTAGGCCCGGGAGGGTACACGCACCTGCCACCAAGCCTGGCAACCAGAGTCCCATCCAGGAATGCCCAGGGTGGAAAGAGAACGGACCCCCTCAAGCTGCCCTCTGACCTCAGTTCTGTCCCCCACCAACTCACAATGATAAATGAATAAACAGATGTTATTCAAAAACTTTCATTCCAAAGGCCCGGGCTTTTAATCATCACGGCCTTGGGGCCAGAATGCCAGTGTGAACATAAGAAACAGCAGCACTTTTCTTGACTCATTCACAACACTGCGGTGCTCTGACCAGCAGGATGGAAGAAATGGCTGCTGTTGTTCTGTAGAAACCTTCTTGATGACTGATCACATAGCTTTCTATTTCCTCTTGTGAAGTCGTAATCCAGGGCTGACGGGATAGCTCAGTGGGTAGAATGTGTACTTAGCACACACAAAGCTCAAAACGACATAAAGCAGAGATGTAGTCCCAGCACTTGGGAGTTGGAAGCATCAGGATCCAACATTCAAGACCAGCCTGGGCTGCATGAGATGCTTTGTGTAAATAATAATAATAATGATGATGATGATGATGATGATGATGATTGATATAAAGGACTGGAGAGACTTGCAGAGAACCTGGTTTCCAGCACCCTCATGGCAGCTCACAAGCATCCTTGACTCTAGTTTTTGGGGAGCTAATGCCCTCTTCTGGCCTTCACAGGCTCCTGGCAAACACATGGTCGACATACATACCTGCAGGCAAAATACTTGTATTCAAAAAATAAAAATAAGTAACTCTTTGAAGAAAAGTTACGTTAGTGAGGTCCAGCATGCTCACAGAGTGTGCACCTGGTGCTTCTGGGATGAAGGAAAACAAAATAAATACACAGAGAAACAGGACACGGATAACAGGTAACATGAAGAGTAAAGCTTAGGGAAGGACTGGAGAAAGGGTAGAGGCTGTAAGCAAGCCTTTGGGGGGGGGGGAGGCCAGCTCAGCAGAAACCTGATGGAAACGAGCCCCCCTGCAGCTTGAATGGCAGCACACCAGGACAGAGAAGCACACACTCACATCGTGAGCAAGGACACGGCAGAGGATTCGTGAAACAACCTGGAGACCAATTAGAGGCAGGGAGCCAGCAGCTAGTTAGGAGCTGACAGCTGCCAAGGAGGTAAGTGGTGCTGAAGAATTAAAGAAAAAAAAAATGTTCTGCACAGTGCCAAGATCCCATGTGCTTACTAAATGGTAGCTAGTCTGTTATTTTGTGTCATCAGCGTTTACACTGGTGTGTGGAAACCTTACTGTGTGCAATCACATCTCTGGCCACTTCAGTGACCTATCAGGAGGGATGGTTAGTGGTTTGCGAGCAGGGGCTCCCAAGAGCCTATTTTAGCCTCTGTTTCCAATGAATGTCCAGTTTCATCATGCAGCTTACAGTCAGCCATGATGGGTACCATGGAAGTCTACAAATGTTCCAAGTCTGATTTGTGAGTGTGAATGAGCCAGTCTCTGTCTGTCTCTGTCTCTCTTGCTCTATGTGTGTGCACACATGTGTGCTTGTGTGAGAGAGAGACAGAGAGAGGGAGAGAGAGAAAGAGAACATATGTGCATGTCAGGCTTGTGTGTGTGTGGTGTGACAGTGTGGGTGCCATGGCACACGTGAAGGTGAGAAGACAACCTTTGGATGTGGGAGTCTTGCCTCTCCATCTTGTGTGAGACAGGCTCTCTTCACTCTTGTGCAAACCAAGCTAGCTGAGCCATAAGGTTCTATAGAGTCTCCCATCTCCGCTCCCAATCCCCACAGGCCACGGGGATTATGCTGTGGCCACCAGCTTTCCCATGGCACCTTGGGATCTAACTCAGGTCTTCAGGCCAAAGTAGTTACCAGCACTGGATGAAAATAATTCACATGTCTATCAATTAATTGGTAAGTAAAGTGTGCTATAGTCATATAATACTCTGCCACAAAAAAAAATGAAGCGTGCGCACACACACACACACACACACACACACACACCATAAAAACATCATGCAAAGTGAAAAAAAGCCATTTACATCAAAAGCCCAGAATAGGAAACTTCACTAGAAACAGAAAAATGGACCACTTTCTGTATGAAAAGGAAGAATGCTGCAACTGAGTGTGGGATGTTTTTAAAGGAGTGTGGTGACGGAAATGTTCTAGCATTGGCTGTGCAATCTGCACTCTACATCTTTTACGGTTATTATTCATTCATTATTGCTATTTTGTGGGGCTGGAGATTGACCCTAGCACCTGACACATAGCAGGCGAGCACTCCCACCGAGCTACACCTGTTGTCCTCATCCTTTTTTTTTTTTTTCCAGATAGGGTCTCACTAATTTACCCTTGAGCTCACTCTGTATCCCAGGCAAAGCTAAAAATTACAATCCTCCTCCTTCAGCCTCCCAGGTATCTGGAGTCAAAGCCTGCACCACCCATCTCCAAGGCTGGACCATGTTATACACTTTAAATGAGTGGATTATACCTCAATAAAATTTGTATGAACCAAAAGCCCACTTGCTAGCATAGTCCTGGCCATAGTACAACAGTACCACTGTGCGTGAAGGCAAGAAAGGCCCCAAGCATGGTCAGAGAAGGGAACACAGAGCAGGGCCAACCAGCCTCAGGCTGCCAGGGGCAGAAGCTCAATAAACAGTCTTCCTGACATGCTTACTCATTACACATGCAGTTTTATCACACACAGTCTCCAAAGACAAAAGGCGGAGGTAAAAACTCTGATTTTCCTACATATGCATGTATTTTGCATCATGATAAGATTCATGTTCCATTATCCCCCTAACCATTTTCAAGTCCAATTCAGTGGCACTAAGTACATTCGCATTGTTGTTCAAACACCAACTACTGGCGATCTCAGTAACTCTTTTGATCTTGCAAACCGAATCTGAAACCCATGATTTCGATCTTGGATCGCACTGTGCAAAACAAGAGGCGCAGTGCCAAGAATGCCGGGAAGGGTGGGAAAAACAATAAAAGAGAGATCTGAGAGATGAATTTGGCATTTGTCTTTTGGCTTTGAATCAGCTGTGTCTGTGTTCCCTGCCTGGCACAAGAAGTTACGGTAACACTCAAGTGTTAGCTGTTGAGGTGGGAAGCTGGAAGGCTTGGGAACGCCGTGACAGAAGTGTGTTGGTGTGGCCCGATCATCGTTCCCTCTTCATTTCACAAAGTAGAGTCCTGACAGGAGTCAGAACCCACACAAATCAAAATAATTCTAAGAGAACTAAATTACAAGGACTAACTTAAAAAGGAGAGATAAACATAGGGATGGGGTGGGGGGGAAGCCAAGCAAGGCACAGTAGCAGAGAAGTAACAAGCGACTGTAAGACAGAAAGAGCGGTTACCGAGACCCAGGAGGAGACACTTACA